ATTGCTCCTATTTTCAAAGATCTGCCATGAACCTCATAATTTTCACCAGTCGTATTGTTTGAACAAACACATTTATTGTTCTACCTTGTCATTGTATGTCACATAGGGCTTGGAGTCAATTTCTCCATTCCGTTCTATCCTGTGAAGTCACTTCAATATCATTGATGGAATCTAGTCAAGCACCTTTGGCTTCTAGCATCAACGTTCACATAAGGGTTTCTCTCAGATGTCCTCATTTCCTGAATCACTGTACTTCTCATTTTAGTGCATGTTTGGTGATTCTTTGTTTATCTTATCTCAGAATGTGTCCAATGTAGCGCCATCTGTCTTATAACTGATGATACAAATGATATCAAGGACCCCTTAAATTTGTTTCTATGGTCATCAACTGGGATCCACTGGCTGACTGTGGGCAAATGTTATAGACACACGTCTTTTTTTTAATTGAAAACTAGAATCACAATAAAAAATTACACATTAACAAAATATACAATGCTTCTTCATTGATTTCCAGGTCACTCACACTCATTTTACTAAACTTATCGTAAATTCCAGTTCAACATGAGTGATTATTATAAGTTCTTTTTTGCTTGCTAAAATCACTGTGAAATATCTTGATTTTTGATCAAGTTCACTAACAATAAAACATTTATACGCAATAACTATAGCTGCAATTTTGATTTTTGCTTTATGAAAGGCAAAAATAAAACAGTGGTTGTAAATTATGATATGGCTATTGCATAAGTTGTGCAACAACTTTATTGGCAATAACAAGAAAAGAAAAGTATAACAACTGGACTAGTAAATAACAAGCAAGTAATGAAACATTAAACAACTGAACTCATAACACCATTGCCTCATTCTAATTACAATGAAAAGTTCAGGCATAAACTGCAACATGTAAATTATCATTATTATCATTATTTGGCAACTTGTGTAAGTGATCATGACTCTCCACAACTCCCAAAATCTCTAGCTGTCAATCTGTTGACATATCTCTTTCCTGGACAAGAAGTAAGAGTATCAAGAAGTATCTTATATCTCCTGCTGCCTTCCTCTGTCTTCTTTTGTAGCCATTTTATCAGTTGTAATGGTTGTCATATATTGGTTCATACATATTACCTGTTTATTCTAATCAAGCTCCGAATGCCTTAGGCAATTCTGTGGGAGTAAAGTTGAAATGAGTTTGAGTTGAGTTAAAATTAAAGAGTGAAAGAGAAGAATGTGCTAAAAAAATATAAATGAATTGAAGTGAAATGTAAGATGATATTTTAAGATCAATGAGTTTAATTAGGAACTTGCTAATGAATCAAGCATTAATCAAATAGTAATACACAAGGTAATATTGTTAAAGAAAGAATAAATTGTTATATTAGAGAGACAAAACAAAACAGAACTGACATAAGATCTCAAAGTTTAAGCAAAAATGAGGCAATAAAGCAACAATGAGCAGACAAATTAGGTTATACAGTTATATTAAATAACATAATCAGCAAGAAATAGTTTCAGGTTGCATACTACCAGTGGAATGTGAAATGTTAGGCCTTGAGACTTCCTGGACTACGACACAATGAAGTGTTGAATCTATTTCATCTTTGCCTCTCCTTTTCAAACTGCTATACTGACCAGGATAATAGAAACCTGCCACTGGTGAAGATCCATGCTGTATCTCTGTCAGCAAGGACAGGAACCATTTGATTACTGCTGCTTCTATGTGAGTAGGTAAACTCTTGACAGCAACAACAACAACAACTGTTCAGTTGTGTCAGCTCCAGCAAGGACAGGAACCATTGGATTGCTGCTGCTTCTATGTGAGTAGGTAAACTCTTGACAGCAACAACAACAACAACAACTGTTCAGTTGTGTCAGCTCCAGCAAGGACAGGAACCATTGGATTACTGCTGCTTCTATGTGGGTAGGTAAACTCTTGACAGCAACAACAACAACAACTGTTCAGTTGTGTCAGCTCCAGCAAGGACAGGAACCATTGGATTGCTGCTGCTTCTATGTGAGTAGGTAAACTCTTGACAGCAACAACAACAACAACAACTGTTCAGTTGTGTCAGCTCCAGCAAGGACAGGAACCATTGGATTGCTGCTGCTTCTATGTGAGTAGGTAAACTCTTGACAACAACAACAACAACAACTGTTCAGTTGTGTCAGCTCCAGCAAGCACAGGAACCCTTGGATTACTGCTGCTTCCATGTGAGTAGGTAAACTCTTGACAACAACAACAACGACAACAACTGTTCAGTTGTGTCAGCTCCAGCAAGGACAGGAACCATTGGATTACTGCTGCTTCCATGTGAGTAGGTAAACTCTTGACAGCAACAACAACAACTGTTCAGTTGTGTCAGCTCCAGCAAGGACAGGAACCATTGGATTACTGCTGCTTCTATGTGAGTAGGTAAACTCTTGACAACAACAACAACAACTGTTCAGTTGTGTCGGTTCCAGCAAAGTAAAAGACTTTTTTTTAAACCTAGCACTGTGTAGCAGCTAGATGCTCTCCAGTGAATCTGAAAGTCATGGGTTCAAATCTGACTTGTCTTTTTTTAAATGACTGTGGCTCCCAGGTCTCCTCAGTCCTAAATGGGCACCATGTCAGTCCTGTAAGTGAAAGGCAGCTGTGTGATGCTGACCACAAAACCCACTGAATGTGATGCCGACAACAACACCCACTGAATGTGATGCTGACCACAACACCCACTGAATGTGATGCTGACCACAAAACCCACTGAATGTGATGCTGACACACAACACCCACTGAATGTGATGCTGACCACAACACCCACTGAATGTCAACTGCTCTATCAAATATAGGTTTAGCACTATATACCCAATACACCTGAAGGAGTAAAAAAGGGTTCTTTAACTATTTAAGTCCCAAGCAACACATCATACATTCATAGGTTCCTACCTAAAAGCCCAATGAACGCATAATGCCCCAATTTTATGTCTCTCTTTACTACCCCATGGGCCTAAACCCTTTGGGACTCAAAGAGTAAATCTTCTGTTTATGCCAAGTCAATAAAATCATCAGGACAAATAGATCTCAGCTGGAGAGAATACAAACAGAACAAGTACCCGGGATCTATGATGAATTACAAGAAACTAGTTCTTAAAAACTAAGAGAAAACATTTCATTAAATAGAGAGCAATTCTAGTCTTGCTGAAATGAATGTGAACAGACAAGCCTCAGCAATAACCAAGACACTGTAAACATATGTTCCCATTAGAAGCTGGTTGTGTCTCCTATCACGACTCGAAGACAGCACTGACATGCTTGAAAAGGCTTCATTCTGAAATCCTGTAACCATCAGAGACTTGGGGAGTCACCGTGGCCGAGTGGCTAGATGCTCGCCGAGGTACGGAAGGTGGTGGGTTTGCTCCCTGGCGTAGCCGGACTTGTTTCAAAAATGACCTTGGCTCCCAGGTCGACCCAGCCTTGAGTGGGTGCCAGGTGCAGTCCCGGGAAAGTAAAGGCGGCCGGCGTGATGCTGACCACATCATCCATCTTGTGCCGATTTGTCTATAAAAATAGAGGTCTAGCCCTATTCGCCTAAAGGCGTGGAAAAGGGTCCTTTTTTTTTATATCAGAGACTCGTCATTATCAGTCAGTCTAGTCCTTATAGCATTAATGATATCTGCTCTGTCCATGCCTCTTCTCACACGAAGTGGTGCAATACCTGCCAGTCAGTACACTCATTTATGATCTTTTACTCTAGCATGTCCAGGTGTGTAGATCCAGGTGAGGGAGGTTAAGTGTGACAAGTCTAGATAAACCATGTTGTCCAATACTATTTTTAAGGAATGTTCCTGGAAAATACAAAAAGAGGGAGGAAGATGTCCCATCCCAAAAATGTGGCACAACCAGTTTCCAGGTGTATCAGATTATGAGGTCAGACCCTATGAATGAAAGCCATGTTTACAAAGTCTTGCTGGACACGAACATGACAAAAGCTGGAAATGAAAGTAAAACTATCTGGTGAAGAAGTATTCATACTTTTATAGTGATGACGGGCAAGTCAACAGATTTGTGTGTTGGATACTAATTTTTAATGAGACAGCCATGTTGTTATCCGTTATTAGTCAAAATGTATCATCTTATCTTAAAATGAATCATCTTATCTTAAAATGAATCATCTTATCTTAAAATGAATCATCTTATCTTAAAATCTAAATTTTTAGTGACCTGATGAAAGCAAACAAGATGTAAACTTCCCAAGAAAGGAGACATTATAACCAACCTCTCATGGGAACAATTAGCAGAAGTACCTTGGAGTGGCTGCTGCATCAGAACACTGAGCACCTATGGGAATGCCCAATGTGCAGTGATGATGATTGTGATAGCATAACTCTAAAAACTTCTGCTAATAAGCCAATCAAGTTACAAGGCCAGAAAAAGGCATCTCAAGAAAGATGGAGTGAGAATATCAAAATGTATCTGAAGACACTGAATGATATGGACTGAGGGAAAACATAATCATGAATCTCGAGAAATGAAAATGAAAAGTACCCTGCAGGTTCCTAAAGCTGAGAGATAAAAAAAAAAATAATAAGGCAGATAATGGCTGTATCAGGATTGATAAAAAGTATATTCAGATCCTACAAGACAGCAAACAAATTTGTTAAAAAAGTCCTTATGAACTATGCCTCCCTAACCTATCATTTGACCTGACATCATCGTGTCTAGTTTTATGATTTTGTAACTGCTTTGCTTTGTTAAACAACACTGTGGCCTGGAGAGAACAGTGACGGAAGGTAACATTTCTGAAAAATGAGGCACAGGCCAACCTCTGTGAGGACAATAAAGATGCAGTAGCTATTAAAGCAAACAGGGCTGGAGAATTGGTTAGAGGAAGAAAGACTTTCATGCGTGCTGTGAAGAGAGTGATGTTCTGTAACGGACCTGTGGCTGATGCTCATTAAACTGCTTAACTATGTGACCTTTTACCATGTCTGTCTCAAGTTTTAAAAATAACATTTCTTCAACTTACCAAACCACCCAATCGCTGCATTTCAACATCCAACTCCTTCTCTCGGATGTATCGTATAAAAAAGGAGTGTGCCAAACCCTTGATTCCTGAAGCCATATCAGACAAACCACGAAGTGAAAGAAGAAGAGCTCCTAGTAATTTGAAAGCATCACCCGTGACATTGTCAGACACTGCGTTGTTCAAGATGCCCTTAAAATCCTCCCAGGCTTCTTGTTTTTTCCGCTCAGCATCGGGATCTGTGTCCTGAGAAAAGATTATAGTGCAAAGTCCGTATACTGATATGATTTTGGTAAAGGATTGCTTTTATTTTACCCAAAAATAAGGGTAGATATTATTGCTTACATACATGATAAAGTGGACTTGCAAAGGCTTTCTGAGATCAATGGATAATGCAGTACAAAATACTCTGACAGACTAATTCCCTGAGGGAGGGGGAGGAGTGGAGGTTCTTGAAGATATTCAACACTTGGGAGGGGGGAAACATAGGGGCACTTTTAATCAGGTTGCATGTCAGCTCTTTGTTGGCTACTGAAAAAGGGGATCAAACATGTTTGGGAATGTCCCGAGTGCAGTGATGTCGATTCTGTATTCATTCATTCATTTATTCATTCATTCATTACATAAAGAGGGCTAGGATATACACAGGGCATACCAGTTTCCTTATTTGGTAAAATTCCCAACGGTCAACACCATGAATCGAACCACGGATTGCATAAGCTAGAGATGGGTGTTCTAACCTCTATGGCCGGTAATGAGACTGGTGGAGCCACTATGGTCACGTCTAAATAGGGAGACTATTATTATCATCACCATCAAGTGCCTTGCTGACTGACATCTCAAAAACTAGCTCATCAAAGAAATACAAGATGCATATCACAAAGATGATCACAGTGACAAGCATGATGGTACTTATGTCCAGGTTGGTGGATACGATGATGCAGCCTGAAGCTGCCAGACATTAACATATTATTCCATTAATCAGCACAGAACTGGCATGACCAGCCAGTTTACACTTGTGGAGCTACTGAGAAGGAAACTGGAGCACCAATGGATCTGTCCAGAATGCCAAGATATGCCTCTTCTTTAGCATTCCAAGCCCTTGAGGTTCATTGCTGCAGGTATTACCCGCCTCCACTCATTCTCTGATGTTTGCAGGTCTGTCTAGACATTATCTCTCCATATTCTTCTTGGTCTGCCTCATGTCTACAACTATTTAGCTCCCTTGTGTATACAGCTTTTACTTTTCTGTCATCTGACATTCTCATGGTATTAGCTCTCGCTAATCACTTTAACATGATTACAAAAACATGTGATGGGTCAAAGGTACTCACTTTCAGCTGTGCTATTTTGATAAAAACAGCCTTGAGTTGTTCACCGATGCTCTTCCATGGAGGATCTGAGACTAAACAAAAAATGATACACTACAAACTTAACGAATATTTGAACACAGATGTCTTCTCTGTTCACCATTAAAATGGTGATTAGACAATTATGTTGTATTTTACTGCAAGACTGTGATATCTGCGCCTTTCAGCAGAAAACATCCGACTTCAGCAACCCTCAGTTAGTCACCTCTTATTGACATGCTTGTTAATGCACAGTGGATCTATTTTTTTCTCCTACCACAAAAGAGCCAACAACCTACAAAGGAACTTTAACATAAACAAGAGTATTCTTTTTCTGAATAACAGGATCCCAAAAGAAATTACTTGTGGTTTACAAAAAAAAATCAACAACTCAGTACTCAGAACAAGCCCACATGCACATGGATCTCCCAGTAGAGTCGAGGAACTGTGAATGCTGATTGCCCTGTTGCTACACATCAGAATCTTCATCTGTGGTCATTGTGTTTTTTAGTCAATCCCCCAAATCAACAGCTACAATCAAGAAGATTCATCAAGAGATGAGTCACTATTTACCAGGCTGTAAGACCATCTGGGTCTCTCTTCCCTTCCACTTCTTAGTGTTCACTAGCTGTAAACTGGTGGAATGTTCTGGATGGTCACTTATTTTTGGACTTTGTCCTTTTCCAGAACTTGAAATTTGCATGCACATTCATTTTACAGATCTGGTTTACTTGTATGCAGACTGCTGGTTACTCGCCACTTAGGCAGATGTGCACCGACTTCAGGAGCTAACTTAGGCAGATGTGCACCGACTTCAGGAGCTAACTTAGGCAGATGTGCACCGACTTCAGGAGCTAACACAGGCAGATGTGCTCCAACTTCAGGAGCTAACTTAGGCAGATGTGCACCGACTTCAGGAGCTAACACAGGCAGATGTGCTCCAACTTCAGGAGCTAACTTAGGCAGATGTGCTCCAACTTCAGGAGCTAACTTAGGCAGATGTGCTCCAACTTCAGGGACAAATCCCAAGTTCATCTCCTTTTATGACAAGCTTGTTAGGGAAGCATTGGCTCTATGCTTTTTCACTCAAAATGACACCTTATAACCCAAACAGGGAAGTCTTACTCCAAAGACATAATCTCAATATTGAATATTTTATTGCAGCCTTCATTCATAACACAATTGTTGGATGTGTTCTTTACTAAGCGCCTAGGGTGTATGACTTGCTCCAGTCACATACAAGAGCTCCCTCAGGTGACAAAACAACTATTTGGTATCTACAGGAGAGCAAGGAGAGGTCAACAGCAATAGGAATACCGACTATAACCACAGTATATCAGGCACATGTTTCATGTCCTATCGTAACCATTAACACTGTCTATGAGTACTGTATAATACACCACGTCAAGTATGATCTTCTAGGGTGATCAGTCTCTTTATTATGGATAAACACATTGCGACAAAGATGAACTGGTGATCACTGACTCATTGTCAAGTCTACTACTGTGCACCAAATACACTCACATTGGCAGTCTCTCCAGATATGGACAAAGCACCTCCAGCGAACTATGTACCAGGTGCTTTATACGGGTGACTCACACCCATCATGCAGGTACACACACGTGATGTGCAGTGACAGTTCTCCCTCTAAAAGACCCACCACCTGAGACCCAAGGTAAATGCATGACTTGGTGAAAGAATCCAGATCTCCAATCTGCTAGCTAGTCACCCACTCAAGTATCACTTATCAACATATCTTTAACCAGACTCTGAATTCCAACTCATGATCCCCCACAGTCATCAGAACAGTTCACACCAGCTCCATAGAATAAAACTGTCACACAGCACAGTCCAAACATCCACAGAACTTTAACAATTCGTGCACACGTCCACACACTCACACCGAGTGAAAGCAACTGACTAAAGTACCACACATGCCCAGCAACAGAGGTCAGTCACTTGTGGATCCTACATTCCCCACACAACTCAGGATGCCTGCAGCCACCCGCAAACACCAAGCAACTTCTGTTTCACAACCTTAAGTGGCTCTAATGTTTTCACTCACAACCCATCAACACAACATGAATGTCCATGTGTACCCATGCTTCACAAAGCCCTGGCTTCATTAACTCTTTATACCCCACAGTGATTTCAGACACAACAGTAATTTCAAGCTCTTAAACATCTTCTCTTTAGGTCTTTACCAGTTTCCCTTCCCCTTAAAATTTCTGATGCAATATATTTGTTTTCCCATTTTAATCAAGTATTTTAATTATCAACATCAAATGTGATGAATCAGTTATTTTCATAATTTTATATATTTTTTCGTAACTTTTTGTTCACATTTTTTATCAAATGAAATACAAAAACTGAAAGTATCACAAACCTGTCTTGCTTGATGTTCTGCTTGGTGTGTATGAATGAAAAAACTCATCTCCCATCTTGGCAAGAATTTGGCCGAAACGTACTGTTGAATGCCCTGAATCTGAAATTGTTTTATTAAAGGTTTTTTTTAACTCAGAAATAATCTGTGATATACATAATTATTTAAACTTTTTATATTAGTGAAATAATCCTCATATCTTATGGTGAAGGTATTTTATGGCATAATAATAACAAAATTACCATAATGAATCGCTGGTTGTGGAAGTCTGTACTCCTCTTCCTTTATATCATCGTCTGAATCACTGTCAGCTGCAGCCTCATAACCCCCTCCATCATCTTCATCATCTGCTGAAAATATATATATTACCAGGTTACATATTAATAGGATCAGTAACTTTATCATTATGTAAACAACATTATTACAAAAATAAGTAACACAACCATTCAGTGAATTTATGGTCACCAGTTAGATCCTTCCTGACTAGTGTGGGCAGCTATGTTTACCTACAACCTGTATCTCCAGAAGTATGTATCAGTTCATGAGCTGACAACTTTCAAAGTCAGGACAAAAAGCTCTCAAGAATCTTCTTGTTCCTTCTCTATCCCTCTTACCATAGATCTTTCCAGCTGTCACAATATGTTCCAGGTGTTTTTCCCAAATTTTATTTTTATTAGATGACGACTACCTCTTTTTAATGTTTGTGATAAGTTGTCATCAGGTCTTATCCTCTTTCAAAACATCTAGATTACTCATTTTGGCCATCTTATGTATTAGAGGAATTTTACGGTAAAACCACTTCTCTAAGGCCCTAAGAAATATTGGTAGCTTGTTTACTCAACTGTTTAAAGTTTACTGGGCCTTTGCACATCCAAGGCTATGATGTATGAGACAGGGTGCCTAGTTCCCTTCCATATCACCATTTCTTCCAAGACACTGTTTAGAACAATCTAGAAATTATCTACTAGGACAATCTGGAACACATTTTTATTTACCCAAGTCGACTGAGAGCCATACATTCTTATCGTGTCATAGATGAAATTGTTTCACTTAAACTCACTTACTTATGTCTAAGGCACCATCGCTGCAAGACTCAAATGTAGAAACCGGATGTTCTGGAAATATATAGGCATAAATTATCATGTGCAAACAAAACATAAACTAACACAGAACTAATAATTGCCATGGTAAGCTGCAAAAATGAAAGCAACACAACAAGAGAGACACACTGAGGTAGACAAAATGAAAGCAACACAACAAGAGAGACACACTGAGGTAGACAAAATGAACTACTGATTTTTCAAGGGTCAAACATTGGGTATGCAGATCTTTCCTTTTGTTCTGTATGATGCTTGGTAAATTAATGTAGCAGTAAATGAATAAATGTAATGCTGAGTCTTTACACAATATGGAACAAATATGATATATACTTGTATACAGACATTTACATATGCACGCATGCTCAAACATACAGACATGACAAAGATGTATTACAGGAGGGGGAGGGTGTGTGTGTGTGTGCATGCGTGCGTGCATGTGTGTATGTATGCATGCATGTATGTATGTATATTTGTATGTAGGTATGTATGTATGTAAAATATGAATGTATGCATGTATGTATGAACGAACAAACTTTATTTTCAAAGGGTTACAAATTGGACACGCAGGCCCGTCTGACATTCGGCTCTTTTAAGCACTCATTTTTCGGGGTACCAATGCCTGTTATCTATAATGCATGTTATGGATATAATAAAGAAATTTACATTATGGAATAATGCATACACACATCATGTGTACACAGTCTTACACACTCACACACACGTATACATACTCTTATATTCTCATACATGCACAATCATATACAGACATATGTAATACATACATACACGCATCTACATAGATACACAAATATAAAGCACACACACATTCATACATACATAGACCTACATGCACAAACAGAAAACTATGTATGTATGTATGTATGTATGTATGTATGTATGTATGTATGTATGTATGTATGTATGTATGTATATAACATATGTATGTATGCATGTATGTATGTTACATAACATACGTATGTATTCATGTATATATATATATATAGATATATATATATATATATATATATATATATATATATATATATATATATATATATATATATATGTATATGTGTATGTGTGTATACACATATACATATATATATTAGGGCTGTACCGAATAGTGATTTTCACTATTCGGCCGAATACGAATAGCTGGATCAACTATTCGGCCGAATACGAATACGAACAGTGAATCATCATCATCAGGTGCTTTGCTGACTGGCATGGGGCGATCATGCCTCGCCACAGTCTGCGATCTCCTGCAGCATGTATTAGTTCGTGTGCTGACACACCTCCATGCCATGCAACAAGCCTGTCGAGAATCTTCTCTCGTTGTCTTCCTCTATCCCTCCTTCCACAGATCTTTCCAGTGGTCACCACATGTTCCAATTTCCTCTCATCTTATAACATGGCTGAAAAATGATGACTGTCTCCTTCTGATGTCTGTGAGCAGTAGTCTTCGGGCTCCCGTCTCTATCAAAACCTCTTGGTTGCTTTTTTGGGGGGGCATTCCAAGGTATTTTAAGCATTGTTCTGTAAAACCATATCTCTGAGGCCTCAAGAAATTGTTTGGCCTGCCTACCGATTGTCCAGGACTTACAGCCATAAGATGTTCTTTGTTTTATAAAATGCAGTTTTTGCCTGTCCTATTCTGTTTCTTTTTTCAGTAATGCATCTTTTATCTGATGTTATCCATGTGCCCAGATACTTAAATTTCTGTTCTTTTCCTAAAATAAAACATTGATTTTTATTACACGTTTAGGAATAATTATTTTCTTTGATAATAGATCTAAAAAAAAAAAAACACACATCCATAATGTCAAATGTTACTTCTGAAAATGTAGTACGGAATAGTAAACATTAAAAAACATTTCATGTTTAGCATCCTACAGTCAGTCAGTCTGTGGTAACTAATACCAAGAAATGAAAGTATTCTTAGTTTTATAACAAGTAACTAAACTTGTAAATTGTCACTGACAGCTTAGTTAATCCATGAAAGCGGCATTAGCTTTCCCACACACAAAAATTGTTCCATGTTTTCAGCATTAAGGCAGCTTCTTGTCTCACTGAAGGTATTTCCAGCTGTACTTAACAGACGTTCATTTGGTACGCTCGTAGGTGGTGCACAAAGATAACGCTTGACAGTATGAACCAAGGTGGGAAATCTTGATATGTTTATTTTCCACCAGTCCAGAAACGGGTGTAAGGTAACCACTATTCGTATTCGACCCGACCGCAACTATTCGGCCGAATACTGAATAGTTATTAGGTCCATTATTTGGCCCCGAAGCGAATACGAAGGGAATATTCGGTACAGCCCTAATATATATATGTACATATCATCATTACCATCCTGTAAAACTTTTTGTCATTGGGTCACCAGTTTTTGTTGACTGTCTGATCAGCTCTCTCCACATTTGGAAGTCAGGTGTGATGGACTGTCCAGTCAGTCAGGTTCTGTAACCAAATTTTCTTGTGGTCTGCCTCTTCTCCTCCTGTTTATATTGTATAAATGTCTTCTTCTTCGTTTGAACCAATAAGAGGTTTTATCCGCACAATCTGCCGAGTCCAGTCTTTGCATGCATGGTAGGCCTACATAAACGAATGACTTGAACATCCACAGCAGCAGCAGGTTTCTGAGGTGCATATGTGTACACACACACATACACACACATGCACACACAATGTATTTCAAACTGACAAAAGACACCAACAGCCAAAGAACAAAATGCTTAAAATTTAACACAGAAGTGAACATTATCACTCAAATACAGATATCTTTGCTTACTTGACACACCAGAGGGAGCCGCTGCAACAAACCGATGTTGACGGAGATCTGTGGATCCTGAAAGTAAACAGCTGTACACATGTATTATCTTGTCTGATCACTAGGGTAAGATGGGGTTTTGAAAAAGAAAAGAAATGTTTTTATCATACTGTAGTGGTATTTTGGAAGATCTCATAAAACACAAATATGTATATGCACAACACATATACTATAAACATATCATACATGTGTGCACCACACATAAGTATATGCACAAGACATAAACTTTAAACATATCACTCACGCACACACGTGTGTGTACACACACACACACACAGACCGAGAGAGAGAGTATGAAACTGCACACATTCCACACATCACACATATGCTACAAAGACCACACACCATGTGCATATCCCACACACAAGTTGAAACATGAAGTACTATATATATATATATATATATATATATATATATATATATATATATATATATATATATATATATATATATATATATATATATATACATATACATACATACACACACATGTATATATAGGTAAATATATATACACATAGACAAATATGCAGGTATATAAATGTTTTTACACATATTCATATATATATGCACATGTATTCATACAGACAGATATGTATACACACATAACTTTTCCCAGTTTCTCACAAATCCACAAACACACACACATACACAGAGTTAAAATAGATGTATCACAGGCAACAGTACTAGCTTCTCAACTACATCAGCTCCCAGAGACTGACAGCCTACCCCTAAAATATTTCAGGAATCAATCAATCAATTGTGCACTGACATCATTGCACTCAGGACATTCCCACAGGTGCTCAGTCTCCTTCTGTAGTAACTAACAAACAGCTAACATGCAGACAGTACCAGCTGCGACCTGACTAAAAGTCTGCCTCTACAATGTTACTAATGAATTAACTCTTGAGCTGCCGGACCCTACAAATGTGGAGCACCTAACAATAGATGATACTCGACTAACTTGTCAAACATATAAGCCATTATCTGTACAGAGTTGATTCTTTCAACCCCCACCAGGACCCAACAACAAGCAATTAACATGTGGTGACACAAAGTCCCACCCTTCAGATGATGTCACAACCCTATGAGTACAGTCAGTGGCGGAATAGACTACACCGTAGGGTGTGGTGTGCGTGTTGAGGTGACACCCTAGGGTTGACACAAAAGTCAGGGCCGTGACTGGTCAAGTCTGTTCTGTTATTACACGGTGAAACCAGCGCTCAGGATAAAGCGCTTGGCCACGACAAGAAAGAGTGAACTTTGTTGTAGACACAATCGCAGCACGATTACCCCTTTTGGGACTGAGCTGGTAAACGGGTCAAAAGACATGAGGTGAAAGGAACAAGGACATTCTGTGTACAGCGGTCAGAGAGAGAGAAGACGTGTTAGCGAGACAGTGATAGTGTATTAGAGTTAGGATATTTCTGTTAGTGACTGCATAAATTATTTACAGTGTTCTGTTAGAATAGGATAGTTTTTGTGTTGCGTATTTAACTGGTACAAGGTATTATGTTGTGCCATAAGAGGTAAATAGGTTCCAGTTACTTTTGACCAGTTAATTCATTTAGGTACATGTTCTGTGAGAGAATGTCTAACCTTGGCACTCTGACCCTGCACTAGACAGAGGCTGTGACAGTTTGATTGGTCAGTGTGTCAATAGGTAAGAGCGTATCTCGTGCCAGTGTGGTTTTTGCACCAGGAGATTGCTTGTGGAATGGACTGGAGAACGAGGCGATTGTAAAGCTCGTTCGGCCAGAGGGTCCAAGCAATAGGTGGCCACACAGCGGGAAGTCAACTGTCTATTGTATTACCTGTACTTGCAATAAAGATTGTCGTGTGTGCTCTGTGTGCGTTCGGGTTCAGTGTGTGTTAAAGGTTAGTTTGTCTGTCATAAGCCTAGTTACGAGCCACGGACCAGCAAGGTCACCCAGAGGTCTGTGACAGATAAGAATCCCCTATGCACGTCCTAAAAACCTCATTCAACCGTTAGGTTATATTAGGACCCCTGACATCAACAAAAGTGGAGCTTTAAAATAACAATTGTGTCACGTATTGAGACGGAGTTTTTCGTATACAGATGCTATATAATTACATGTATATTACAGTCAAGGGCACCCCACACTTTTACTCGCTGGTACATACAACAGTAGAAAGGTCACTAAATCATATGATAAATACATTCTGTTTTTGAGTGCATTAATAATATGATGCATCTTAAATAAAAGTTAATTTTATAAAAGATAGTGTTTTTTTTTTGTCTTGCCTCTAACTTTTCTCTCCAGTACAGTTTTTATAAGCTTGTTTTGTCTTTCAATGTGGTTATAATATCTCATGTAATTTTCCTCAGACACTTTCCTTTTATGCCGGGTCTCTTCAAAACCTCTGTATTTTACTGTTTTTATTTCCATGAAGTATGGCCTTTAGCAAATTAAACACTGGATGTTTATAGAATAAGTCACCATTATAAAATTCATAACAGTCTCTAAACAGAATGACTCACTAGATACTGCAGGGCTTTCAGATTCAAACGGGTCAAATGTGGGTGACATAAACAGATCTATCAAAGCTTCCACATCCCTGGTCACTGAAGCTGCCATTCTGCTGGAATGATGAAATTACAAAAATTTATGAAAAATCTTTAAAAATATACTTTTGGATTCATGATAGCCTCTTCTTCTTCTTAGTGTTTACCGGCTGTAAACTCCTCTGGAAATTCTGGTTGTTCATCCACTTCTGGACTTTAGTTTTGTTGCAGAATCTGAGTGTTGGGTGCACATCTGTTGTACAGATCCGGATTATTTGTATGCAGACTGTTGGTTCACTACCTTCCCGGCAGATTCATTCTGACTTCTAAGGAAGCACCTAATTAGTCTACTTGTAAGACATATTTGTTAGGGAGGCAGTGGTTCTATTTTTGTTTTCCCCATAATGGCACCAGGGTATCCACACTGGGAATATGTTGTGACAACTTAATGTCTGGTACATTCATATGCCAGCCTAATGATCTTGTTCAAATTTCATATAAATCTCTCTGTTCGTAAGAAACACATGAAGAATTAATGGTTAATCTTCATTTCAAGAACTAACATTATTCTTTGCTAAGGAGAACAACTGCAGTATTGCCAGCAAAATGATCTCTTATGTTCTCTTTCTTAGTTGTTGCCATTGCTAAAGTCTTGCAAGACAGTCAGCCAGCTATACAATCTGGTGTGGAGACACGCTTTTTCGGCTGCACCGTGACATGCATGGCTGAAAAACCGTATCAAAGAAAAATATAAACAAGGTACAAGCAAACATGTGACTTCTGACACCTCTAGGAATGAGAGGAGAGCTGATTGACTGCAATTGTACAGGAATATTCCTTTTATGTCATCATGTAACAATCTGATCAGTTTCAACAATTTAATGTAAAACCTAATTTTAAGAGGCGTTTAAAGAGGCAGTTCTCTGACAAGTTCACATATCTCTAGGAGACATATGAAAGTCATGCGCAAAGGCATGCTTTGCTCATTGTGCCGCTCTTGTAGCTGGTAAAGAAGAGAACATTTTGGTCTTTTATATCAAAAACAGCATTCTTAATCTGGTTAAAGACTTTGTAGCCTTGTTATATATACATAATCACTTATGAAAACATTGTACACATTTTTTGATAAAGAAATAGCTTATCCTGTAGTTATCAAAGATTTGTTTGTGGTTTGCTGTTTTCATACTGTATACAAATTATGGGATGTTAAAACTCAAATAATAGTATAGCCTCTTCAGTCTTACAAAAAGAAAATTGTTAGTGAGGCTTCAATTAATTTTCTTCCGCATCCCCCCCCCTTTCCGCTCTCTCTCTCTCTCTCTTTGTGTGTGTGTGTGTGTCATTTTCTCTTTATCTCTCTCTCTCCTGCTGATAATAAAATAAAATACAATTGATGTGTGAAAGACGAGTGTTTAGGAAGTCGGATGTAAGACGGCCAAGTGTGTCCTATTTCTGACCCTTTGAACATAAAAGTTCATTTGCTCGCTCTCTCTCTCTCTCTCTCACACACACACAACATGTATCCCTCCCCTACTGCTGTGCTTGTAACCTGGTGAAGACGTTAGGAATTCCTCAACACGTAAGTAAAAGATAACTGACGTTGTTTATTTCACTGTGAACGAATGGGCCAGAGCTGAAGTGACGATGAAATATGGCACTGAGCTCTAGTGATTATGCTAACACTTTATCAAACTTATATTGAGTATAACACTATATTAACAAAAAATAAAATATTGATATTGTAACTGAGAACACATTTTTTTTATTTATACTGGAACTCCACAGTAAACTATTGTGGTAACATTTCAATTTTTCTTTTACGTATAATTATAATATTAAATTTAGAAAGTAATTAACTAATTAATTTTCATTAAATATTACGGACCTTGCTACTTAAAACTACTTTACTTAAATATTGTTTTTGTTTTATTAATCTTTCTTACCTTGTTATCGCTAAGAGTAAGACTCTATCCTGCTACAGAAAAATGGGTTTCTTATATTATTACACTACAAAACGTTAACCTTTCGGGTTTCGTTATAACAATTTGATCCTTCTAAACAGATTATATTTCAGCCGTCACTTGCTGAGATGTTTCCTTTGCTGAGGTGTACATCGAAAATAACTTCAACAGCGAAGCCACGAAGTATATATATAAATATCGCTCAGGACTCGAGCCAAGCTTATCTGTGGCTGTTTTTCTCAGAAGTCGAAACACCGACAGGGCAGAAACAAAAACCAAAGTGGACCGACCAGGAAGTAAGCTGTAGATATTATTTATAGTATAAAGAAACACTGATTTCCAACCATTACGGCTAAAACTAAATGTTTCCGTACGATAACATTACATTTATATACAAATATACTCTGTGTGAAAACAGTTACCTGTGATATGAACAGGATTCTGTCAATAGGAAACCCCTTTGCTGTTTCCGGGTTTTCTCAAGGGAAAACCCCGTCTCCTCTAAATAGGCTCAGATATAAAATCGAACAAAAAGTAAATCAGCGAGCCTCACAATATAACTAACACAAACAAATCGTGAACTATAGAGCCTTCTTCAGCACATACATAGATAAGACAATAGTACACAGTATTCTAAATAGGTATCACTGTTCAATCCTTAAAGTCGATCGATCGATTAGTTTGTCTACTCCTGGCTGCTACCCAAAGATTAACCCACCGCCTTCTCCAGATAAATAGAGTCGGCTGTGAGTTAACCATACTATCCTGAGGTTAATAAATCTAAGTCTGGACGGCACACCAGAAAGGCAGACCCCATACCCGTTCAACCTCGTGTTATAATTAGGGCACTTGGGCTCTTTTCCGAACACTGGTCTCAAATTATTCCCTGCGAAAAACATCCCTTTGAGAGCCTCAAGAGGTTATGTAGTAAAAATATTTTAGTTTGTCATCATCAGTTTCCATCTCTGCCGTTATGGCTCTATGGATAGCAATGTTTAGACGTTAAGCTAAACGACGTGGGATGGATCAGATTTGGAACCCTTGTGTAAGTGCAGGAGGGGGCGTAGTTTTCGATCGATTTATCACATTACCCGTGACTTGCCTTGTGGGTTTCTGGGCCGCATGTTTGTGGGGGGGGGGGGGGGGGGGGGGAATGCACATCGTATTAACGGCCACAATAGGAATGGGTAACCTGTAGTCTTCCTCGGGAAGGAGTCCTCACCTTAAGGTTAAAATAGGGACATATGTAGAGATGTTATCAAATAACTTGTTCTGGTCTGCCCATAATATATAATCGTCTTTGGTGGCTTTCTGATTGACTTTATTATTTTCTTCTTCTATTGATAAGAGACTGGTGTGTCAGGTTGTTCTTCATTTGCGCCTTCCTTAGCTGGCTTATCAGCTCTCTCATATCCGGAAACTCGCCTAGTTCGGAGAGTAATATCCGTTTACTAGGTAATTTTCCAGATTGGAGTGCCCGAAGTACCGCTCTGTATCTTCAATATCATGGTAGTGACAGTACTTCCCTGTTGATTTTGACTATACGTCTGGTATTATTTGAGTGTTCGATGTACACTCCTGCTCCTCCATTTCTGTTTGCATTTTGTGCTGAACCATCCGTGTAGACACCAACCCGAGAAACCCGTGGATATTCATCATCAAGTAGACTCAGGGTGGCTGTTTTTCGTTTCTCACCGTTTTGTTCTTTCTTGTTGAATACTCCTTTCACTTCTGTTTGTGTGTGTATTGGCAACTTATATGTTATTATCGGGATTTTTTTTCTCTCCATTGAATAAAAGTTGCTGGTCGTCATTACAAAGACTTTCAAGCGGTACCATACTTACCATAAGGTGTAATTTTCAGCAGGGTTGGAGAAAAAAAGGTACATAACAATGTGCCTGTACTGCGTGCGTTGTATACCTACAGAAAAAAATCTAGATTACTTTCAGTGTTGCGTAATGCACAGAAATACGGACTTACTGGTTTATTTATCAACGGAGTAGTTGTGTTGTTGTTCTTCTATCAGGGGATGATGACTAGTCTTTTCATCCAATGGTGACTGGATTGGGTTATGTGCTGATAAAGTCCATTCTAGCACCGAAAGTTCTAAAGCTCTGTGGACAAGCAATTGAAGCCGCATCTCTCTTGTGATTTACTTCAGTGACTTTCCTATCTTGTCTTTTTTTAATTGCTGCTGTAGTTCTAGCAGCTTCATGCTGCTAAAATTAATATCATGAATGGGTCAAGTAGAAAGCAATTGATGTCACTGGTGGCACGGGATTTTTTTTTTAAAGTGAATATCGCAGTATGTGTACATTGTTTTATTCTAATACACGCAACCAAGCGTTTCCATCAAACTTTGTTTTCTTTTTTTTCTGAATTCAACTGCCAACTATACTTAACAAAAAAAACACTTAAACAATAAAGAGCATCCAATGACAGAAAAAAAAAAAAAAGCTTCATGGGCCACAGCTCCTTGATGGAGAGAGGAACGCCAGGATGGGGGGTCACATGCAGCGACTTCCTAGGTTTTAGGATCAATACAGAAGTTTTTCAGTGAGCTCTTGGGGCTGTCTTTGAAACGTTTCTTATGTCCACCTTGAGAGCGTTCACCTTTTAATAGCTCACCATAGAAAACTCTTGTTGGCAGTCGGTGGTCAGGCATACGAGCTCTCTGACCTGCCCAGCGAAGCTGCGATTGTTTAGAATCGAGTAAATACTGGGCAGTCCCGCTCTGTCAGGGACTTTAGTGTCAGGAATCCTGTCTTGACATTTTATGTTCAGCAACTCTCTGAGACCAACTGTGAGGAAATGGTTCCGCTTCTTAGTATGGCGCTGGTAAACGGCCTATGTTTCACATGCATAGAGAAGTATAGGAAGTACGACAGCTTTATACACTTTGAGCTTCGTCTGCAGGCTGATGCCAGCTCTATTACAGACAATGGAGTTGTAGTCATTTGAACCCCAATATCCTGCATTCAGGTCATAATTTTGATGTATTTTTTTCCCCTTCTATTTCAGTAATGGATATTTATTTACTAATTATGTTTGGTTATCTTGTAGCCTCTGTATTAATTTATAAGATGTTGAGGTATAGGCCTAGATGTCACAT